GTCTACTATCAGACTGGTGTTGAAAATTGTAGCTGCAGAAAATCTACATCTTGAGCAGTTAGATGTAAAGACAGCTTTCCTTCATGGTGATTTGGAGGAAGAAATATATATGAGGCAGTCAGAAGGCTTCATAGAGGCAGGCAAGAAAAACCTGGTATGCAGGTTGAAGAAGAGCTTGTATGGTTTAAAACAAGCTCCTAGACAGTGGTACAAAAAGTTCGATAGTTTCATGAGTAGCAGTGGTTTTACCAGATGCCAAGCAGATCATTGTTGCTACATCAAGAGGTTCGATAATAGCTTCATTATTTTATTGTTGTATGTTGATGACATGCTCGTTGCAGGCTCAAACATTCAAGAGATTATAAACTTAAAGCAAAAATTATCGAAGCAGTTTGCTATGAAGAATCTGTGCGCTGCAAAGCAGATTCTTGGGATGAGGATCAAGAGAGACACAAAGTCGGGGACTTTGATGTTATCACAGGCTGAGTAAATTAACAAAGTACTCTCCAGGTTCAACATGCAAGATGCTAAACAGTAAGTACACCTTTAGGTGTTCATTTTAGACTCTCCAAAGAACAGTCACCAAAGACGAAGGAAGAACGTGCACACATGGTGAAGGTGCCGTATGCCTCAGCAATTGGAAGTCTAATGTATGCCATGGTTTGTACCAGACCAGATATTGCTCATGCAGTGGGAGCTGTTAGCAGGTACATGAATAATCCAGGCAAGGTACACTGGGAAGCTGTCAAATGGATCATCAGATATATGCGGGGTACTACAAACAAAGCACTTTGTTTCAAAGATAGAGATACGATACTGACAGGCTATGTAGATGCTGACTTAGCCGGAAATGTTGACATCAGAAGGAGCACTACAGGGTATGTCTATACTATAGGAGGTACTGCAGTGAGTTGGGTTTCTCAACTACAGAAGATAGTTGCTCTCTCCACAACTGAAGCAGAATATGTCGCTGTTACGGAAGCCAGCAAGGAGATGGTTTGGCTCCAAAGTTTCTTGGAAGAGTTAGGCAAGAAACAAGAAAACAATGTCTTGTATTGCGATAGTCAAAGTGCTATCCATCTAGCAAAGAATTCGTCTTTTCATTCCAGAACGAAGCACATACAATTGCGATATCACTTTATCCGGTCTCTTCTGGAAGATGGGATTTTGAAACTTGAAAAGATTAGTGGAGCTCAAAATCCGACAGACATGTTGACAAAGACGGTAACCACGGACAAACTGAAGTTTTGTTCAGCTTCAGTTGGCATGCTAGAGTAACAAGACCAGAAATGTTATTGCATTGATCAAGGTGTGAAGACAGATTAAAATCAGTCTTTAAGTGGGAGATTGTTAGCAAAGTCAAAGATGGGGGGGGGGCGATGGGGAACGTTAATAATCAATAATAGGGGCGTCGAATTTGGTGGATTAGGCATCGAATTCGGTGCATTTAATTTCTATTTGGGTTAATTACACTTTTAGTCATTGCACTTTAAGGTATTTTCAAAGATTAGTCCCTAAGCTTCAACTATAAATACCCTAGTCCATTTAGCTTCAAAATCATCTCAAAATCTTCCAGTTCTCTCTCAAGTGTGTTTTGTAAACACCTGTAATTTTTTCTCTTTAGTAAAAGATCTGCAGCAGTCCGGAGACGTAAGCACAATTGGCTGAACTTCGTTATCAATTTTTCAGGTATTATTTTTTCGTTTTTATTTCATATTCTCACTAATCTAATTATAAAAAAATTATTCGTATTCGATTTATTTCCCAACATGGAGGCCTCCGTAAAAAGAATATCATCTGCGAAGAAAAGATGAGATATACCCGGACCATTTCTCGCCAAGCGCACTTGTCAACATCTGCCTCTTGTAACACAATGCTCAATAGCATGGGGATAGCCTTTCCATACATAAAACAAATATATATATGAATAGAGAGGGTCCCATTGGCGAATACCTCTCGATGGTCTGAAACTTTCCGACATATCTCCATTCCAAAGGACCTGAGTGGACATAGTCCTGACACAGATCATGATCCACTCAATGAACTTTATTGGTAAGCCAACCTCGACAAGAGTTTCCTCAATAAAGTCTCACTCTTGTCGGTCATAAGCCATTTCTAAATCCACTTTATTCGTCATCCAAGACTTACCACCCTTCTTGATGTTCATTGAATGAATTACCTCTTGAGCTAGAATAATGTTACCCGTTATATTCCGTCGAGGGACAAAGCTGGACTAGTTGGGGGAGATCCAATCCGGAAGAAACGGCTTCAATCGATTAACCAGGATTCTTGTGATAATTTTATATGGCACACAAGACTAATAGGACGAAACTGTAAGATCCTCTCCAGATTCTCAACTTTCGGAATAACCACCAGCAACGTTCTATTGGCCCAATTCGGAAGACCTCCATTGTTGAAAAAATTGGTGACAAATTGGACAATACTTCCCTTCAAAATACTCCAGTTCCTCTGGAAGAAACCCGCATGAAACCCATCAACGCCAGGAGCCTTCATGGGATCCATCATGAATAGGCGCGAATTTCTTTGATAACCAGTGATTGAATAAGGGGTGTTAAGCTTGCTGGCTGATTTCGAGCAAAACTCTCCACATGAAAAAAATTAACATTGTGCCTAGCTTCAGACGTGAAAAAGTTTCCTGAAGAACTCACCGCGCGGCCTTGGAGTATAGAAGGATCAGCACACCAAGAGCCATCATCCATCTTAAGCATAGATATATTATTCCTCCTCCAACAAATGATGGTCGAATAATGAAAGAACCGGGTGCTACGATCTCCATTCTTAATCCACTTACTCAGGGCCGGCTCTGGGCAGGGGCAAGAGGTGCACCCGCCCAGGGCTCATAATTTTTATTTATATTAATTTATTATATTTTAATAAATTAAACTAAAAGCAGGGCTCATATATATTAATATATTATTTTTTATATTAATGCAAAGGCCCCATAAATATTAATGTTCAATTTTAAACATTTCTCATCATACTCACGAATTTTAAACATGAATTTTTGGAGTGAATTAAGAGTGAGATTAAAAACTAATCAAACACTTGATAAAGATTTACAACAAGGAATTTCAAAAGAGAAAGAACGTTGGAGGCAAGTTTTAATAAAAATTGTTTGTGCTGTAAAATGTCTTGCTAAAAATAATTTAGCTTTTCGAGGATCTAGTGAGAAAATTTACGATGAGAATAATGGAAATTTTTTAGGATTAATTGAAATGATTGTTGAATTTGATTTGCCTATGCAAGACCATATTAGGCGTATTCAAAGTGAAAATATTCATTATCATTATCTTGGTCATATCATTCAAAATGAACTAATCTCTCTCTTGGCTCATAGTATTAGAACTTCTATTCTAAAGATCATCCAGAAGGCAAAGTATTTCTCTGTTATTCTTGACTGTTCCCCTGATGTAAGTCATCAAGAACAAATGACTCTAATAGTGCGATGCATAAATATGTCAAACAACAAAGTAAAAATAGAAGAGTACTTTTTAGAGTTCTTGAAAGTGGATGATACATCTGGATTGGGGCTTTTCAATGAATTAGTAAATACATTGCAATCTCTATAGTTGAACGTTGATGATGTGAGGGGCCAAGGATATGACAATGGTTCTAATATGAAAGGAAAACACCAAGGTGTTCAAAAGAGATTACTTGAAATAAATCCTAGAGCTTTATATATGCAATGCGCTTGTCATAATCTTAATCTTTCTCTTTCTGATATGGCACATTTTTGTGTTAAAGCTATTTCTTTTTTTGGGATTGTGCAACGTATATATTCATTGTTCGCAAGTTCTACCAAAAGGTGGAAAATTTTATGTGATAATGTTCCGGAAACTGTGAAATCTTTATCTGATACTCGATGGGAAAGTCAAATTAAAAGTGTCAAAGCTATTAAATGGCATACTCCTAAAATAAGGTTAGCTTTGTTACAATTATATGAATATTGTGGTAATGATGCAAAAGCAAAAAGTGAAGCAGAAAGTTTAGCTAGTGCCCTTCAAAGTTTTGAATTCTTACTTGGAATGGTTATCTGGTATGATATTTATTTGCTATCAACACGGTAAGTAAGAAATTACAATCTAAATCAATGTGCATTGATACTACCATAAGGAGTTGGAAGGTGTAATGTCATATTTTGAAAACTATAGAAATAAGGGGTTCGAAGCTAGTATAGATATTGCTAAAAGTCTTGCATTAGATATGAACATAGAGCCAATTTTTCCGACTAAGCGTCGTATTTTTAGAAAAAGACAATTTGATGAGAATGACCATGATGAAGAAATGCAATCAGCAGAGGAGTCTTTTAAAGTTAATTATTTTTTTGATGTTGTTTATATGGCGCTCGCTTCTTTGAAAGATAGATTTGAACAGTTAAAGATTTTGAAAATTATTTTGGATTTTTAATTGATTCTACAAGGTTGAAGTCATTGGATGACAATAAATTAAAAGAATGTTGCAATAATTTTAAGATTATTTTTTCTCATAATAATTTGTCGGATGTTGATGCAGATGATTTTTTTTCTGAAATGAAAGTGCTGCAATTGACTTTGCCAAATGTATTCATGTTAGCACTTGAAGTTCTTGAGTTTGTTAAAGCTAGAGATTGTTATCCTAATGTTTCAATTGCTTATCGAACTTATAACACTGCCGTAACGGTAGCATCCGCGGAAAGAAGTTTTTCAAAGCTGAAATTATTGAAGAATTACTTGAGGTCAACAATGTCACAAGAAAAATTAAATGGACTCGCTATGTTATATATTGAGAAAAATATGTTGGAAAACATTGATGTTGACATTATCATCAATGATTTTACATCAAAAAATATTCGAAGGTAATGTTTTTTATAAGTATTAATATGCTTAAATATGTTTTTAACATTTTTTATATTGTAATGAATTAATATTTATTTAATTTAACAAAAATTAATTAAAATTTTATATTGTATATTTTTTAATATTATTTTAAATTAGGGCCCATTATTTTAATTTTACCCCGGGCCAAGAAAAAGTCAAAGCCGGCCCTGCACTTACTTCTCGACTTTTGGTAACATATTTTTCTTCTTGCTCAAGAGTTACGCCAAGTTCCCCCTTCAGTTCCACCTCCAAGTTTAGAAGAAACGTTGAGGATCTCTGTTCAAGAGCCTTTTCAATTCCACGGATTCGAGCTAGGAGAAACGTCTTCCGCTTACCAACGTGCCCAAACACCTCTTTATTCCAAGTTTGACTTGCTTCCTGGGGCTTCAGAAGATTTTCGAAGAAAGGTCCATCATTCGACCAAGAATCCTTCAGTAATCTCTCAAAATCCGGATGATCAATCAATGCATCGACAAAACGGAAAAGCCTTCTACCATTCGCTGCACGAATTTCATTTGTAGACAAAAGTAAAAGTCTATGGTCTGATCCAATTCTCTTCAAATGAGAAATAGTAGATGAACAAAAGACATCAGTCCATCGTGAAATGCATAAACATCGATCTAGAAGCTGGCAAAGGTCTCCACGTTGCCACGTGTATTTTGGACCATCAAATCCCATATCCACTAATCCACAGAGAAACATAAAATTACAGAAGTGAGGACACACTCTCGATCTTTTGCTTGATCCCCCTTGCCTCTCAGAAGTACTACAGATCGCATAGGAGTCACCACCAATCACCCAAGGCATATTATCTTCCGGCTCCAGAGCTCTCACTTGATCCCAAATCCTACTTCGCTTACTACTATCCGTGAACAAACTGATTCGACGCCACAAGGATATCCAAAGAAATCGCCCTCCTCCATAGTATCCAAATGCCTCCAGAAAACCCATTAGCCTCCACTTGGAAAGGACGTTCAAAACCCGATTTCCTAATAAATTTGTCAGCTTGAATTCCACTTACCCTAGGCTCCATCATAGGGATAATATCCGGATGATACTGCTTCAACAACAGCTTAAAATACCGATTAACGACGAGGCCGAGAACGCCTTAAGTGCTCCAAAAATTATTTTAACCATATAATAATACAATCGAAAGACCAACCAACCTTAAGCCGTGTGATCCATATCGGATTCGTTCTCAAACGTGGTATTTGATCTCCATTGAACCACCTCATCAGGTCAGTGTTGAACATTTGGTCCTTCAGCCACCAAGTTATCTTTTTTTACATTTAATTCTTTGGCCATAGCCTCCATCCAATCAGCAACCCTTCCTCGTAGTATCAAATTGTGATTGCGAATTTTGTTGTGGATACAGTTGTATTGTTGTGGTTGCGAATACTACGGACATTACGTAACATGTTAAGGATGTCGTGAACTTGATATTTTCTTCAAAAATCACAATACGCGTAAAATAGTATATTTATACATTTTATAATTATCTTTTAATATACTAATATTAATATACTCTTTTAATATTTTATTTTGAAAATAAAAATTTAATTTCATAGATAAAAACAAATATAAACTATAGAAATACTATCATACTAGATAATGAGTAATAATAATTATAATGTTAATGAATTACATATAAACAATATCACTAAATTATATCAAAATTTTATATTTTAACGTAAAATTGTTCATTTTATATAACTTAGAAAGAAAACATAACTACATATATAAAAATTCTATATATTTCAATTCACTACCAAAAATAATTTAATTAATTCAAATTTAAGTAATTAATTTTAAACATAACTATTATAATATTATTAATGATATATATTTATAATCTTGTTTTAAGAATTAAATTAGAACAATTCATCTATGTAATTTTATATTTCATATAACTTAAAGCTTGTTGCAGTGTTGCGGTGCAATTTATAGCGTGTCACGGTGTTACGTAACGGTTTTTGACTGTAACAATCGTGATGCGGTTCTCTTATCGCGTTATGCCAATATTACGTTACAATAACCTTAAAAAACGTTACGATGCAGATATTACGATACCATGCTTTGCGACCGCAATTTAGTGGTATGCCTTTCCTCATTAAACCCTTTACATCTGCCAAAGAATGGTCACCCTTCCTGGCACTTGTACCGCTTCTCAACAGCGACGGAGAGCAACAGAGGACGACAACAAACAAAACAGAAAAAAAAATAGAAAAAGAAAAGAGGACAGCCAGCAAATAGGAGACAACAACATCAACAGCAAGCAATCCAACCACCATCAAACACCAAAATAACGAGATAGAAATAGAAAGAAACCTTACCGAGGAAAGCCACACACCACCGGTAACCACGCGCCTCCACGCTCCACAACAAACCTTCGAAAACCGAAGGTATTTTTGAAGATTTGCTCCGATTGAGAGCTTTTTAAGGTAAACAAATACCGGAATCGTCATTAGGACGATCCGATCTACGTTATGGTATAAAGTTTTATTTTCCGGCCACCGGAGGCGGTGGCCGACGGTGAGGTTGGCGGTGGCTATCGGCGCCGGAATTCCCTCCGGTGAGGGAATTAAGAGAGAAGGAAGAGAGAGCTTCTTCTCTAGTTTTATCCATATTATTATTATTATATATTATTATATTATTATTATTATTATTAATATTATTATTATTATTATTATTATTATTATTATTTATATTAAATATATTAAATACATAATATATTTACAGGCCCAATTACAACTGGACCGGTCCAGTTACAAACCAACCAGAACCGGTCCAAACTAACTAGAAACCCTAAATGTTTAGGTTCCAGTTAGGGTTTCCTAACCCTAATCATCCTCAGCCGCCTCATCACAGCCGTTGGATCTGGCACGATCCGGTCCACACTCATCCAGCACAAACCCTAGGTATGATCCCCGGGCCACGCGGCGCCGCTGCTGCTGCTTCCAGAAGCCCTCACCGCCTCGCCGCTGCCACGTCCCAGCCGAAGACTCCAGAAGCTAGAACACCGGCCGTCCACGCCAAGGCTACGGGGTGAGTCACCTGGTAGTCCGGTGACTCACCGAGCCCCCTCTTCGGACCGGTCCGAGACGAACACCGGGTGGCTATAAAAGCCACCACCCACCTGAAAAAAAAAAAAGGAGAGAGACGCAAGAAGAGACAGAGACTGAACCAAAAGAAAAAAAAAGGAAAATAGAGATATAAAAACTCGGATCTCGTCAAACCTTCGAAACATCGAAGGTATTTTAGATTTGCTCCGTTTGGGAGCAGTTTAACGGAAAAAAACGTCGGAACCGTCATTAGGACGTCCGATCTACATTTAGATAAAAGAAAAATTTTTCCGGCCACCGAAGACGGTGGCCGGCGGCGGTGGTTGACGGCGGATGAAACGCCGGCTAACGGCCGGCCGATGAACCTCTCTCAGTCTAGAGAGAAGACAGAGAGTTCTTCTCTCTGTTGAGAGAAAGAAAAAAAAAAAGAAGAAATGAAATGGCTGCCCTTCGGGCCAGCCGATTTGGACTTTTAGTCCTTCCCGAACGACGTCGTTTCGGGAAGGACTATGCGCGTGATTATGGAAAAGTTAAATCCCTTCCCAGTCCTTCGTACTTGTAAACTTTACTTTTAGTCACTAAATTAAATTTATAATATTTTAATTCAGTCTTCGAATTTTAATTTCTTTTATTTTAGTCCTTCATATTAAAATATATTTAGGATAAATTACAGATTTAATCCCTTAATTTTAATAAATATTTTTTAGTCCCTAGTTCATACTTTTAATTTATTTTATTATAAAATTTGAATTTAGATAAGTTATTGGGTCATTAAATTATTAAATAAAAAAAATATATTTTAAACCCCTAAATTCAATTAATTAGTAATTAGTAATTAGTAATTAGTTTATTTTTATATTTAGTTTATTAATTTTATATGTCTTTATTTTTTATTGTTTTTAAATATATTTTTAATAGAATTATTATTATTATATTGTTAAATATTTGATTTATATTCAATAAATATATAATAAATATTACTTTAAATATTTATTTTAATATAGAAAAGGACAGTCTTAATACAACTGGATGTCCTATTCTGAGTTTTAAAATTAAACAATATTATTTAAATTAATATTTATCAATATCAAAGAAAAGAGCTGTCTTAAGGCACCTAGAAGTTCTTTTCAGATATTTTAAATAATAAATATTTTTTTTTTACAATTTTAAATTATAAGATTATAAATTAAATATTTTTGAATTGTTAAATTTTTAATAATAGAACAATTTATAATTAAAAAAGTACTAATTTTGGGCGTTGTAGGGGTGCTAATCCTTCCCTAAATGTAACCGACCACGAATCCCTTTTTATTATTAAAAAGAATGAATTTTTGGTTATAAAACGCAGATCAGTTCGATTTTTTTAATTGATGTTTTCTTAAAACTCTTTTAAAAATAATTTTTAGGTATTCGACCTACCTAATCCAAAAGGCCGATGGCGACTCACAAATTATTTTCAAAATTATTTATTAATATTAATTTCCCCGCCAAATTTAATATTTCGTGCCCGGACGAAACCGTTACGACAGCTTGGCGACTCTGCTGTGGGACCCTGGTCAAACTTTTAAAAATCGATTATAATTTGTCTCTATTAATTAAAAATTAAAAATTCATATATTTAATTTTTAATTCTTTCTTTTCAAATTTTTTATTTATTTATTATTTTTATAATATTTATATGTTTTATTTTATTTGCAAGTATTTTATTTCAGTATTTATTTTTATGTCAAAAGTTTAACATTTCTCCTCACACATAACACTTGCATTGCATAACATAAAGCTCTATAATTGAGTTGTCCCTTTTAAGTGGAAGTGAAAGCGACGTCTTCTGAGAATTTATTCTCCGTGTCAGACCTAGCAAGTAACTTTCGGGTTCATATGCTCTATGTCTTCGTGAGAATTTATTCTCCGTGTCAGGCATAGAGAAATGTATCCCCTCGAATTGAACTCAATCCACTTTAGTCTGTAATGGACTAGGATTGAGGGTTAGCAACCCAAGGGGGCACTAACAAGGACAATTCGGGTACCTTTACTCCTAGATCTGAACCCTGCATAAAAAAAAAACCTTAGAAACTCTTCCAATCCGAAGTCATGCTGAAATTTTGTCCAAAATAGGTGTACACACAGGAGAAATGAATTCTGTCTTTCCTGTTAATCTATTTATGTTTAACATGTTTATTTAAATTATTTAAATTTAGAAAAGCATGTTTAAATTAAATAAATGTTATTATTGAATTTTTTATGTAACTAATTTATTTCTTTATTTTTCTGTTTGCATTGCATCATACAGGATAAAAGACATTGATCCTTGTGTTATGTCTCATTGGAAAGCCTTCATCTATGGATAAAAAGTGTTCAAATCAAATAATTCTGAACTCAGAATAAGACAGTGGGCTGAGGATTTACAAAGACAAGAAGGAGATAGTCTGCAGGATGATTATGTATCTGACTTGGCCAGTTATGCTTCAGTTTCACTAAAAAGAAATGATATGCAAGATTTGCGAAGCATTGGGAAATTGGGATTCAAACAAAAATTGCAGTTTATCAGACTTACGGAGACACCCATATCTGCTCTATGTAGAAGTTGATGAATTACCCGAGCCCTAGTTCAATTCTGGAATCCCGGGTACAATTGCTTCACTTTCAATAGGAGGACTTGGTCCCTACTATGAAGAATATACAACTTACTACATCTCGAAGGGTGCTTTGGAGAATCGAATTATTCAAAGTCAATTAAAAACTCAACCTTTCGAGTTAAATTAGCAAAGATTGCCGGGGTACGAGAAGAATGGGTAGCATCCCGTACAAAACAAAAAGGGAAAGCGAAGGCATTGCTTGGACCAACATCAAGAACTATTCAGAGTCATCCAGATATTAAAGTACGATTCG